AATGTCCCCTCAGTGTCCCTGTCCCTGCAGTGTCCCTGTCCTTGTCCCTGCAGTGTCCCCAATGTCCCCTCAGTGTCCCCAATGTCCCCTCAGTGTCCCTGTCCCTGTCCCTGCAGTGTCCCTGTCACTGTCCCAAATGTCCCTGTCCCTGTAGTATCCCCGACTGCCACCTCGTCACCGTGGATGTCACCGCTGTCCCTGTCCCCTCAGTGTCCCCAATGTCCCTGTCATTGTCCCCGCAGTGTCCCCGACTGCCACCTCGTCACCGTGGATGTCCCCTCAGTGTCCCCAATGTCCCTGTCCCTGTCCCCTCAGTGTCCGCAATGTCCCTGTCCCTGTCCCCGCAGTGTCCCCGACTGCCACCTCGTCACCGTGGATGTCCCCTCAGTGTCCCTGTCCCTGTCCCCTCAGTGTCCGCAATGTCCCTGTCATTGTCCCTGCAGTGTCCCCGACTGCCACCTCGTCACCGTGGATGTCCCCTCAGTGTCCCTGTCCCTGTCCCCTCAGTGTCCCCAATGTCCCTGTCATTGTCCCCGCAGTGTCCCCGACTGCCACCTCGTCACCGTGGATGTCACCGCTGTCCCCGAGGGTGGCCGCGCCCTCACCGTCACCAGCACCCGCCGCAACCCCGCCGAGCCCGGCCACGTCACGGGCAGCGCCACCCGCCACAGCTTCTGGAGCAGCGTGCTGGGTGTGGCCCTGTCCCCTGTGCCACCCCTGTGCCACCCCGGTGCCACCCCGGTGTCACCCCGGTGTCACCTCGGTGCCACCCGCGCCACCCCTCCACGTGTCGCTCATTTATCCCCTCCCCGCAGCCTGCACCGGGCACGGCGGCTGCCTCAAGCTCTGCTGAGGAAGGAGCGAGAGCGGAAACCCAGCGGGGACGCCGCGGGGACAAATTTTGTTGTCGCCAAATTTTGGGGACAATAAAATAAAATAAAAAAACAAACAACCCGCCCGAGGCTGGCGGCGCCGGCGCCCTTCTTGTAATGGCGGCGGGGGGAAAGCCGCGATCTGATTGGTGGAAACGCTGAGGGAGGGAGGGATTCTGGCTGCTGATTGGTGGGTGCTGGCGCGCGAAGCGTTAAGGGAGGAAGGTCAAGGCGCTGATTGGATGGAGGAGGATGCGGCCGCGCTCTGATTGGTCGGCGCGGCGCGGGGCATGACGGGAGTTGTAGTTCCGGCCCGCCATGGCGCCGGANTGTCCCCAATGTCCCCTCAGTGTCCCCAGTGTCCCCTCAGTGTCCCTGTCCCTGTCCCCGCAGTGTCCCCAATGTCCCCTCAGTGTCCCTGTCTCCGCAGTGTCCCCGACTGCCACCTCGTCACCGTGGATGTCCCCTCAGGGTCCCCAATGTCCCTGTCCCTGTCCCTGTCGTATCCCCAATGTCCCCTCAGTGTCCCCAATGTCCCCTCAGTGTCCCTGTCCCTGTCCCCGCAGTGTCCCTGTCACTGTCCCAAATGTCCCTGTCATTGTCCCCGCAGTGTCCCCGACTGCCACCTCGTCACCGTGGATGTCACCGCTGTCCCTGTCCCTGTCCCCTCAGTGTCCCCAATGTCCCCTCAATGTCCCCAATGTCCCCTCCGTGTCCCTGTCATTGTCCCCACAGTGTCCCCGACTGCCACCTCGTCACTGTGGATGTCCCCGCAGTGTCCCCAATGTCCCCTCAGTGTCACTGTCACTGTCCCCAATGTCCCCAATGTCCCCTCAATGTCCCTGTCCCTGTCCCCGCAGTGTCCCCAATGTCCCTGTCCCTGTCCCCACAGTGTCCCCAATGTCCCTGTCCCTGCAGTGTCCCCAATGTCCCCTCAGTGTCCCCAATGTCCCTGTCATTGTCCCCGCAGTGTCCCCGACTGCCACCTCGTCACCGTGGATGTCACCGCTGTCCCCGAGGGTGGCCGCGCCCTCACCGTCACCAGCACCCGCCGCAACCCCGCCGAGCCCGGCCACGTCACGGGCAGCGCCACCCGCCACAGCTTCTGGAGCAGCGTGCTGGGTGTGGCCCTGTCCCCTGTGCCACCC